TTTGAAAGTATGGGTAGGAAGGAAATAATTGTTTGTACATGCTATGGAAAGCCCTATCTGTGAAAAGAGTTGATAATACTGAAGCTGTCTCCTGTCCGTGCCCTAATTTCTATGACAAAAATATTATATATTATTGGTAAAACTAAATATATGCCATATGTGCAGTTATTGATAGATCTCAGTTGATTTCAGCATTTCATTTCATACCAATATAACAAACTTCTTCCTATTGAATTTATAGGTCAGCAATGTCCGATGATTTGAAATAGTATAGCCAAGAGCCACTTGCATAGTTATGCCAGAGCATGAGAAAAGCAGCAATTTGCAGAGATAAATTGCTGTTAATTAGCAGTCTGTGCAGTCTTCCTTCCTTCCTTCGTTCCTAGTCCTTCATGAGACCACCATACTGGCAGAAAATGAGGAATACAAGTGAGGTCTCATAAATTAGTGGCAATTTGGTGAGTGAGTTACATAATTTCATTTAATCACCACAAGAACAGAAAAGGATTCTGGCCAACATTTTTTAATGTAAGAACTTACACACTAGCCTCAAACTCATCCTAGGGTGCAGTTATATACTGAAATACTGCTGGGTTTGTGTCGCGTTTAGCACTCTTTAAATTGACTTTAAAATAGAGTTTGCATTTTTCCCAAGGGAAGCATTTTTAAAAAGTGCTGTATTTTAGACAGTCTCAAGGGGATTGGTTATTTTAATTCAGTTGTGGATGTAATTTATTCTGAATTGTTTTGGCATGTGTCGGAGTAAATTGTGTCTGTGGAGTTTGTCAAGCATAGGTCAGGAAACGGGTAAATTACCTCAAATTGGGTAAAAGTGAAAATACTGGGGTAATGAGCAGAGTGCTACCCCCCTCCCTCCCTCTGCAGCCGAAGCTTAAATTGTAAGCCACATCTCCCTGTTACTTCCTCCGTTGCAGCAGGACACTCATAAATCATCCGTTCTGTTAGAGATCAGGAGATAAGCTCCTTGATTGGTTGCAACTGTGAATTAGCCCCAGGCAATCAATCAATCTGGGGCTTCTGAATGACTGCTTTCTTGCGAAATAACTGCAAACAAGCAGGAGGAGTGAGAGGATCAAGGAGCAAGCCAGGGAAAGGAGGGAAGAAAGGTGTGAGAGACGGAGGACTTCATCAAGCTTATTTAAATGTACAAAATGGAGGGAGGGAGGAAATGGAGGGAGGGTGGGTGGATGGATGGATGTGTGTGTGTGTGTGGGTGAGAGAGAGAGTGAGTGAGTGAGAGAGTGAGAGAGACTGGCTCAAAACTGTGAAAATGAACAGGCAGGCAAGCAAAAGAGAAGCTGAATTAAGGGGTGGGGGGAGGAAAGGGTGGCTTTTTAAGGTGCTGTCTAGGTTTATCATTGCTTTCCCTCTAAGAAGCAGGCATCTTTGAATTTCGTGGCTGCTGTCACCCTCTGCAGTGATCATGGAGCCCAAGAAAGTAAAATCTGTCACTGCTTTCCCCTTCTGTTTGCCAGGAGGTGATGGGACCATTGGCCATGATCTTAGTTTTTTTGATGTTGAGCTTCAGACCATGTTTTGCACTCTCCTCTTTCACCCTCATTAAGAAGTTATTTAATTCATCTTCACTTTCTGCCATGCTTTTGCGTAGTCAATGAAGCAGAAGTAGATTTTTTCTGGAACTCTCTGGCTTTCTCCATAATCCAGGGCATGTTAGCAATTTGGTCTCTAGTTCCTCTGCCCCTTTGAAATCTAGCTTGTACTTCTGGGAGTTCTCAGTCTACATACTGCTGAAGCCTACCCTGTAGGATTTTGAGCATAACCTTGATAGCATGTGAAATGAGTGCAATTGTACGGCAGTTAGAGCATTCTTTGGCACTTCCCTTCTTTGGGATTGGGATGTAGACTGATCTTTTCCAATCCTCTGGCCACTGCTGAATTTTCCATTGATGATGATAAAAAAAGCATACTGGTCCTTTGATATTGGGCTGTGGCACCAGGGTGGGGGACATGGCCTTTAGCCTGGTTTATTCCTTTTTGCACACCACACATAGAATGATTAAAGTGGTAGGAAAATCCCCCCTCAACCCTGCCTTGGCTGTCTCTAGCAAGCACGTCATTGCTAGCACCACTCTGGCAGCCATTGATGATGATTAAATCCTCTGCAAGCTAGCAAAAATTTAATGCAACTTGCTAGGCACGTTGGACACCTTACTACTCCCTATACCACATCATGGCTGGAATGCAATGTGTTCCAGCAAAAATAGTGCACATCTTTATCAAATTTGGTGCATTCTGCTTGTTCTGTACACAGCCTGTGTAGATTCAATAATATTTTTAATTAAAGTAACATATGATTTCCTTCCTTTCGAATCAAGGGGGTAATGTCGGCGTATAAGGTAAAAAAGTTCCCTGACCCCTGGTATAGAGCTTCATGGCGCAGTGGTTAAACTGCTGTACTGCAGCCAAAACTGTGCTCACGACCTGGGGTTCAATCCCAGGTAGCCGGCTCAAGGTTGACTCAGCCCTCTCTCATTCTGAGATCGCTAAAATGAGTACCCAGCTTGCTGGGGGAGGGGCAATGTGTAGCCTGCATAATTAACTTGTAAACCGCCCAGAGAGTGCTTGAAGTGCAATGGGGCGGTATGTAAGCAGCACACTTTGCTTTTTTTTTCTTTGTATCTGTAATACTGAAGAAGCATTTTCCCAGTTTGAAACAATAAAATAAAAATGTCACCAGTAGTAGTAACGGTGAAAAGCTGTTAGAAGCAGCCAGTGTGAGGGAGGGCAGATGCAGGACAAAGCCCCAAATGCAATGGGTTTTCAGTGCCCACACACCCTCATGCTGGCTGCCTTTCATGACCAATTGCTACTACCACCAGCAGTATTATTTTTTATATTTACTTTAAAAAAATTTCTTTCAAAATGGGATAGTGCTAGTTTAGTAGTTTCCCTGCAGCATGAAACCTGTGATGCAGGCATCCATTACTTGACAAAAACACACAGTCAAGCACACATGCTAGCCCAAAGGTGGCTGGGTGCCGGAGTCTCAGATCCAATTATTGTAAAAGCCCGTGTCGCCTCCTTGACTGATATACAACACAGCTTCTAAATGAATTAAAAGTTTTTTTCCATGAGGATGTGCGCAGAGAACCAAAACCCACACGACTACCATGCGATCTTAGATCAATTTCAAAAACACCGATCCATTGCTCAATTCATATTAATAGTGCAACCAAACCCTTACATCTACCACACCCATTCTCAAATTGTTATGTCTATAATTAACCCATTTCTGTCATGTAGCATAATCTATCAAACTTAGGTACTGTATTAGGTATTTGAGTCACCCTAAGAGTCCTAAAGAAATTCTATAGACATACAGGGAAAAATCTGAAGCCTCTGTTCAACACAGCTGGCATTTATCCCAATAAAGCAATGGTTCCTACCCTTGGGTTCCCAATTGTTATTTGGAATACAACTCCCAGAAATCATGGTCAGCGCAGCTAGTAGCAAGGGCTTCTGGGAATTTTAGTCCAAAAACATCTGGAGACCCAAGGTTGGGAAACACTGGATAAAAGGGTTAAGTCCAAAATGAAACCATACAATTCGGAAAATCATATCTAAATTCATCTGAGTATCAAAGTATCTTTGCTCTGTTGCAACAGGCAACATCATCTTGTCTATTTCTGCAAGCTCTGTTTATCTACATTGCTTCATTGCACACAAAATCTTTCAAAGTTGTGACATTTAAAAGTGTTCATAGAGCTGTTAGTTCAATATGCCTTTTGTTTCCCAGGTTACGTAAGCCAAGGAAAGGGTTTGGAAATTGGAACATAGATTTCTCGTCTTCATTCTGCTGAGTAGAAAAGGTTACATTAGTTTATCTGAGAGGTTGAAGAATGTGTATGTTTTTCCATTGTACATATTGTTATTACTCACACATGCTTCACCATTTTAAACATGTAGAATTACCCAGTGCTAAAGAATCCCAACCAGGTAGGTGAGGCTCGTTAGCCTTGGAAGGCAGCCCATCTAGGTGAAGGAAAACTCTGATTTCAAACCTCCACTGCCTTGTGGCTATATCTACTGATGGAAAAGGTTTCAGAAGTAAACCTCAAGGCAAAATCCGGAGACCGAGTCCTGGAGGCAGTTCGTGTCATTCTGGCAACTCCTGGGACGTCGCTGGAACCGGTTGTATTGGCCTTTGCCTTTCCATTGGGCTATTTCAGCGACTTGGAGGGGGGGGGTTGCTGGTTGGGTAACAGCCTATCCTCCATATTATTCTATCCAGGCTTTGTGCTCTGGAGAGGACACTCATACAGAGTGTGTTACCATGGTCTTTCAAGAGTGAAGGATGCCTAAAGAAAAGGAATCCCAACCAACATGAATTTGACCAAACTCCAGGAGGCAGTGGAGGATAGGAGGGCCTGGCATGCTCTGATCCATGGGGTCATAAAGACCCCATGGACACGACTTAATGACTAAACAACAACAACAAAGAGAATCCCAGAATATGACAGCATGATCATACTATGTTTGCTGGGGGAGGACAGATGCAAGAGGGATGTGGCTGATGTCCCTCTGTACCAAAATACTTTGAAAGGTTCTTTTGGATGTAAACAGCCAGAGATTGGGGTGTAATTCTCCACTGGGTCCACAGAAGTGCTGGCCTGTATGGCCTTGGGCAAGCTGCACAGCCCTAGAACAAACCACCTGTGTAAAACACAGCCTGATTCTGATGATAAGAGAAGTTTGTCTATCAATGACTCTTTGCTTTCTTTGCAGTATCACATGGATGGCATAAAGAAAGTTGGTCATAATTTTATTATTAAAGCTCTCAATTTTTGACAGACAATATTATCAAGAAAATCATGAGTGATTATGTGGTGTAAATTTTTATAAACTCCAAATATGCAAGAAGGATACATTAGACAATGGTTTAAGTGTGCATTAGTTATAAAGTTATGAACATTTTAATTAAACCTATAGATAGGATTAGTTAATAAGATATATAAAGACTAATCATCCTTGGGATGTTTAACAAATCGTTCTGAGACAGCTCTTAATATATTTCCTGGTATTTTTTGGTGTCGATCACGAAGATTTTCAATTGCAACCTTGGTCTGTTAAAACAAAGAAAAAATGGAAAGCATGTGTTAGAGTTCTTTATTTAAAGGGAGGAAAATACAAAGTGGAGAGAAGCCCTCCACAAATTCAGAAAGCAGTGTAGAAGGACTCATTATATTTGGTTTCTCAGATCACCTCCAAATGTCTTGTCTGGGTAGAACACTGTTCAAATACTGGTTGTGGAATTTCTCCACTACTGGCAGTGGCACACATTCAGGAGACCTAATCACCAAAAGGCACCTTTTGGGGCTCACCACTACAGTGCCTTCCCCCTAACCTATCCATCGCAAAGAGGGGCTAGATACTGGGCCACAATTATACCACCCTATTCCTGCCTCAGTTGGCTCAAGTGTGGATCAGAATAGAAAGAAAGAAAGAAAGAAAGAAAGAAAGAAAGAAAGAAAGAAAGAAAGAAAGAAAGAAAGAAAGAAAGTCTTAAAACTAGTTTTACCCCAACAACACATACCCAACAAATCAATGGGAAACTAGCAAGAGTAATATATAGCACATTTCATTGATATATTCAGTCTATTCTAAGACTAATAATGAATTTAAACCTATAGATTTATTTATTTCAAAAATAATTTACTAATCAATTTAAATTACATGTCCAGTTATCTATATTCCTAATTTATCTGAATGAATAAATGCATTAAAGTGGGCAGTAAATCTGCCAAATTTCAGTTTTAACTCCAAAGGTTTGCTTTTTTGGGGGGTGGGGGGACTGGAGCATTTTATGTCTTGTCTAACTTGTTTGATGTTTGGACACAACCAGTGATGTAAAGCCTCTTCATTCTGTTTCAGAACTAAATCTGGCAGGTTCGGTTTGATCCAGACTTCATACCAATCATTCCAATTCTATTAGCAATTCAAGATTAGCAATTCTGACTTTGGTGTACAGCCCTGCTAGAATCTAGCTGCAGGAGACATTCTCTCTAGAATTGCATTTCCAGTTATTTTAATTCCAGCCCTTGTTCTGACCAGTAGCTTCTTCTTCTAGCTATTTCCTGTATCTCTGTTAGAGTTTAAAAAATTGAGATTGTAGAATATGGAGATGTTGCTGCATAAATCAAAAGTTCTTTTAAAGTATGTCTCATAGAAATGCATTAAAAGTGAAGGTACAATTAGAAAAGAGCTCTGTGAAGACAGCTTATACTACAAAACTGAAACATCCTCACTTGTTTTGGAACAAAAGCTGCTGATAAGATAGCAGTAGTGTGGTTGTTGTAGGTTTCTGCTCATTGATTCTGCTCTCACAATTAAATGACAGCAGCAGTTGAAAATCACTCATCTGTCAACCAGATGTCTTTCTAATTTGTCATAGAGCTTTTTAGCCTATTTTTTCATGCATTTGTTATAGGCAGTAACAAGTACAGTATTCATAAAATAATAAAGAACAATATACCTTTTAAAAATCATTAAAACTGATTCCAGTTTATATTTCCATGAGAAGAATAAACTTACTTTTTCAGCAAGTTCATCAGCAGTAATATTTGGATCATATGGGATGGGTTCTCCGAAATATGTGCGTAATTTAACAGGGAAACCTCCATGGATTGGAAGACACATCATCCGAATTTTCTCATATAACCATTTAATCAGCCCTACACAGAAAATGAAATAACATTTCCATTTTAGACAATGCAACCTGATATAAATTTTGAAAATAGTTGATTTTTCATTAATACAGCAATCCAATTGAGGCAACAAGTCCTAGTATAGGATTACACATAATTGCGGATTGCATGACCTTGACATTAACATTCCTCACAAAAGTACAGTATCACACTTCCTAAGCCTCATTGTGAGCCAGAACATGTCCTTTCTTGAAAGGACCATAAAAACCCATTAAGAAACATAGTTGTTGTTTCTGGTTGACTTTCTGATATTTATGTCCATCAAAATTGCAGCTTTGGTCTATTTTTTAATTCTTTAAATTAAGGAGAACATTTATTTTATTTGGAGAAATATAGCCAGGAAAACCTCCACAGGGACCAGATCTGTTTCCTACTAGTTGTCCACACAGATACCATAGCCTAGCACCCTCACTTTGACTCACGAACGATTTCATGGTAAGCTTCTGGCATAATATCCAATATCCAAGGCAGACTTCAGCTCTGATTCATATTTCATGGTCAGCCTAAACCACAGATGAATACTGAATTCAGCAAACAGGCAATACAGTTGTAGAGACTCTGTATGTTTTCCATGCAAAGATACATTGCAGACTCACGAGAATCGTTAATGAAGGCTGTCTAGCCCAATGTGCTGCTCTCGTCCATCATAAAACAAAAACACACCAACTGTCTGTCTAAACAGTTTATTAATGGAGAACCAAGACCTCACGAGAATGCCAGTGGTGCAGCACCTGCCAACCAATGCCCTAGCTTCTTAGGGAACTGCTGGGGCGTCAAAGGATGGCAAAGTCCGGTATACCCTGGGACTCAAGTTCACTAAGGGCAATCACTTCAATATGTAGGACTGAGCCAGGCCTCCCAAACCAGGATTACCATCCCTAGTGCAGACTCCAAGATCCCCAAGGGGGTCCCTGCTAGTGTTGGGGATCTGAATCCCTACTTGCCCTCACGGTGGATATGCTCCTATGTGCAAAACTGGTTCATTCCACTAAAGACATAAAGACAATATAAGAAATTAAACTTAGATTTACAATGGCACTGTTACAGAACTGAGCACGTCCTCCATACATAAAATAACAGAATGCATGACCTTCACAGAGGGATAGGTGAGTGGCTGAAGATGCAGTGAAAACCTCTGGAGTAGTGCTGGCAGACTGGAGGGAAAAGTGAAGCACTCAGAGCTTGTCTTGTCCTTTGGCCCATCCCAGGGCCTCTTTATTCACTTGCTTGTAGCAAGCTGAAAGCCGGCACAGCTCATCGGAGAGGGCTACCGTGCAGAGATCATGGCATTCTATGGCCCTGACTTGGGACTGTCCTGCCCTTCCTAAATTAGGCTAGGGGACTGTGACCTTCATAGCAAACCATCAAGCACAATGTAACATCAGGAAACCCATTAATCAAAGGCAGGAATAAGTTCTTCTTTTTTAAAAAAAAAAAACCCACACCTACCTATTCTTCCATATCCTCTGAAAAATTCTTGAATATTTTGTGTAAACATGGGGATGATGGGCTAAAAAAGAGAGAAGGGAGAAATAGCTGAGAAGTATTGCAATTGTCACAAATATCTGTTCCATCAATGACGCAAGTATTTGAAAGAGACCCTAGATTTTTTTTAAAGTAACTGCAGGAATGTCAAAAAATGGAGTGCCATCACTTAAACAGATTCTCCCTTGAAATGGTCACAAAAGGGTTTCTTGGTCCTGTCAGCCATGTTACACTCATGGATCATGATCATGCCTTTCTATTGTTTCTATGGGGTCTAGAAAATTCTCCTCTTTTTAGGTTATACTAGAACTGACATTATATTTGGGTCCTTTTAACCACTTTGGGTCCTTTTAAGGAGAAAAGTGGGGTAAAATATTTTAAATGGATAAATAATAAATATTTCTAGCAGATTTGAAGTCTGGAAAAAATGTTGATTACAGTTTGTTTTATTTTACAGTATTTTTATCCCAGTTAAAAATGACTGAATTGTTCCTATCCTTAGTGAACCAGAAGCTAATGGTTTAGAGTCCATTTCAGTTTATGATCTTTATCCTTTTCCTCAATCAGAAGCTGTGACTGTAAAATACCATGAAGTTTGTGTTAAAGTTTTCTAAACTGGTCAGGGACTGCCAGGTGTAGTTTCTGCGGCTGAAAATCCTATAATCATCCACATGGACAAAATTAATTGCCTAGGCTCAAGAGTCCACATCATGCTTCCCAACTGATACAATTTTCATTGGGATCACATCTTTACTAGAGATGGGGGTATTTGTTTTCATATACGAAGACGAATATCACTGCGCAGCTGGACTTAATGAGGGGTCTACTCACACGTCATCCAGTGGTGATGGCCCCATTCATCCTTCCAATTGCATCTGGAGCACCGCTCTCTTCCTGCTCACCTGGCCACTCCCCCTGTTTGGAGTGGCTAGCTGAGCAGGAAGAGAGTGGTGCTCTAGGTGCAATTGGAAGGATTAAGTCCAGTTGCACGAGGATATTCATATTCGTATACTAATACAAATACCTCCATCTCTAATCTTTACCCTATTAACATGACCCTCTTCTCCACTTCTTTCCTTCATCCTGCCTCTTTCTATGGAAGCAGATTGGAAGTCCCCCCCCCCCTTTTTGGAAGTGACGTAGCAGCACTTCTGACTGTTCCTCTTGCTGGTGAAGCAGCTATACTAGCTGTAGGGAAGTTTAAAATAAGGACAATTACAAGTACCAAAAAGTGGTTCAGTGAGTGGCCCCCCGAGTCCCTCTCAATAACAATACCATATGTTGCATAACTAGGCTGTTTATGAAGGCCAACAGAAACTTAAAGGACCAAAACAGCCATACAATAATAAAATGCCAACGGCCACCAGAGAGTTAACTCAATTCTATTTTTTGAGTAGTTTGGCAGTTAGTCTCTTTGGCAGTGAGGAATGGAGCCCCCTCCTCCTACCAAGTCCATAACTCCTCTCAAGTGGGGCAGACAAAGGGTGACACAACAGGGGTGCTGTACACAGGCTGTCAGGTTGTCCATGTGGGCAAGTGGCAAAGGCACCCTCTCCAGCCATGCCTCCTTGCTTTCTGAGAGTTTCAGCCAAGCTGCAGGTCCAGTAGTTCTCAGTGGAGGTTCTCCCAAAGTCCAGGTGGCATTGACTTCCTTCGTCAAGGTAGTGGACTTACAGGTGAGATGGTGTGGTGTGAGGACTTCCTCCAGGACCAGGCTGAGGGCCAGTGTAAGAACTCTCAGACAGGGCTGGTTGCCCCTGGTTCTTCTTCTGGCAGCACAGAGCAGAGCACTGGTTCTCTGTCCTGCAGGCCTCTCTACGAAATGCCTCATCGCAATGTACACAGGCAGCTTTGTCTGCTGGCAACAGCAGGTCTACCCAGTCACTTGTGCCCAGGCTGCGTCTCCAAACTACCTCCCAGCCTTGTCAGGAATGGGGTCTTGTTGGCAGCGCCTTCTGAACCTTCTGTGGCCCCCGGTCCAAGCACTGGTCCAACCATCCTCCTCTGCTGTTTCCCACTCTTCCTTAAGTAGGAGCCCTGCCTTGGCTCCACCTGTGGCTTTGGAGGGCATTTCCTGCTTCTTCCTCATTGCCACTGCAATCCACTGAGGGCACTAGGGGTAGAAAGCATGGCTACCAAACCCACCACAGCAGAGAAGTCACCATCACAGGGAGAGAGAAAAAACCAGCGCAGAGTGACCACTCACCACTTTGGCTTCCAAGGCTAGTTTAGCAAAACCTGTGCGTTTACCCCAGACAAGCCTGTAGTTCTGATCACTGAAGATTGCTTCTCTTCCTCCACCCGGTGCAATTCCCAATAAATAACCTTTTTTCAGCACTTCTAGACATTCAGCTTTGCTACCAGAAATGCAACCAGCAACATCAAAAACAAGCTTCATTCCTGTTGAAATATTCCAAGAGCAACATGACACACTGTATGGAAATCCTGTCTATACAGTAGTGATAAAAATCACCGTTAGTTTTACTGTCCCGTTAAAGCGGCAAATCATGCTTTGCAAATTGTGTTAAGCAGGGGGTATCTTTCTTCCCCCTCGCTTTGCTTATTCTTTTTACTTCACATGTCCTCACTATACAATTTTCCCCTGAAATCCTTGGTATGAAATTACTAATGTGGTGCTGAAATGTTTGTTTCATTGGGAGTTTTTGTTGGGAGGAAGGAGGAAAATGAATTGCAGCCCAATCTGTCAGGAGGCATAAGGAAGAGTACTGGGTTGTGAGGCTTTGATCCTTCCATGCTGTTAGGATGTAGCCTATTAGTGGCTGAAGACCTGTTGCTTAGCATACAAAGTTGAAACAAGAGTAGGCCCATTGAATCAGTGGGGATTTCATGAGTCAGTTCTTCTATGGGTTCCACTGATTCACTGCGGCTATTCTAGTTGCCTCTTAGAGTGACCCTAAGCATCAACTAGTATCTGCTCTTTCCTTGGCAAGTGGTTTGCCGCCCTCTTATACTTGGCAGCCAGCACTGTACACGACTTTTGTTAGCCATTGGAAGATGAACACAATGAAAGAAAATGATCACTCACAATATAAGGTGGCAAAGGTATATTTTGAGAAATTCTGTTAACCAGAATCCTTTTGAAAATACCTAAACACTCTAAGGCTATGTTTTTGGAGAGAAAGAATGAAAAGTTCAATTTACCACACAGTTCTGAATTGTATACTAACTACATGATTGACTTTTACTGACTCTGACTACATGGCTCAAACTAATCACATTCTGCCTGACAGACTAACAGATCACAGACTGATTGAAAGAAGTGTAGGAAAATGAGGCTTGAGAGGCTGTCTTTAAGCTCTGAGGCAGAGAGGGAACAATTACTTGCTGCTAGATTAATTGACAGTTGTCCCAATTTATTTATTTATTATTTAATCAACATATATGCCGCCCACACTACCCAAAGGTCTCTGGGCAGCTTACAACAATTAAAATACAGTTTAAAAAAAATTAAAATACAATTCAAATATTTTAAAATATTAAAATATATACTCTAAAAACTGCCATCACGACCCATAGTTGATATTATTTCAATTAAAAGCCTTCTGAAACAGGAAGGTTTTTACCTGGCACCGAAATGTCATCAGCATCGGCGCCAGACGAATCTCAGTTGGGATGGCGTTCCATAATCTGGGGGCAGCTGCCGAAAAGGCCCTTTGTCTACAAGCCATCCCTCTTACCTCCTTGAGGGACGGCTCTTTCAAAAGGGCCCCCTGGCTGAATCTTTACTGCCGGGTAGTTCATATGGAAGGAGGCGGTCCTTCAGGTATTCAGCGCCCAAGCTGTTTAGGGCTTTATATGTCAAAACAAGCACTTTGAATTGGGCCCGGGCAGCAACTGGTAGACAATGTAATTTAATCAGAATCGGCTTGATATGTCCCTAGCGGTCCCACTACTCACCAACCGCACAGCTCGATTTTGGACCAGTTGCAGTTGCCGGACTGTCTTCAAAGGCAGCCCCACATAAAGTGCATGGCAGTAATCTATACAAGATGTTACCAGTGCATGCGTAACTGTCATGAGACTCTACTCGTCCAGGTAGGGCTGTAGCTGCTATTATTTCCGTAGCTGAAGGAAGGCACCCCTGGCCACCGAGTCCACCTGGGCTACCAGACTGGGGTCCAGGAGCATCCCAAGTCTGTGGATCCTGTCCCTTAAGGGGAGTGTAACCCCATTCAGGGCAGGGAAATGGCCCTCCAGCTTGTCTGGCGAAGCACCCACTAACAGTACTTCTGTCTTGCCTGGATTGGGTTTTCAGTTTATTAACACTCATCCAGTCCATTATCAGGTCCAGAACAAGTTCAGCACAGAAACTGCCTCACCTGGATTGGTAGAAAATGAGAGGTAGAGCTGAGTGTCATCAGCATATTGCTGACTCCTCAGCCCAAACCTCGATGACCTCTCCCAGTGGTTCCATGTAGATGTTAAACAGCATGGGGGGACAGTATAGAGCCCTGAGGAACTCCATGGCATAAACACCATGGGACAGAGCAACTGTCCCTCAGCACCACCCTCTGGACATGGTCAGCCAGGAAGGAGCGGAACCACTGTAAAGCGGTGACCCCAACTCCCAACCCAGCCAGCCTATCCAGAAGGACACCATGATTGATGGTGTCGAAAGCTGCTGAGAGGTCCAGGAGTATCAACAGGGTCACACTACCCATCTCTCTCCCGGCAGAGGTCATCATACAGGGCGACCAAGGCAGTCTCCGTACCAAAACCCAGCCTAAAACCCGAATGAACTGGATCTAGAAAATCCGTTTCATCCAGCAGCACCTGGAGTTGTCCGGCCACAACCCGCTCCAACACCTTGCCCAAATAAGGGAGGTTTGCCACTGGTCGGTAGTTAACCACCAGCCTTGGGTCCAGGTTAGGCTTTTTTAGGAGTGGCCAAATTACTGCCTCTTTCAAGGTGATAGGGACCACTCCCTCTCTCAAAGAGGCGTTCAGGGCCTCCTGGACCCAAATGTGAACCCTCCTGGCAGATCTTCAAATTTGCCAAGATCGGCAAGGGGCAAGCGGAGTGGTGGTAGAATGGACAGATCCAAGCACCCTGTCCACATCCTCAGGTCTCAATAACTGAAACTCATCCATTAATACTTGACCTAAGCATGGCACACTGGACACATCCTTTGATTCTGCAGTAATGGTGGAGTCTAACCCACTGTGAATCTGAGTGACTTTTCCCTCAAGATGAATAGCAAACTCATCACAGTGAGCTGATGAGCAGTCCGGGACCTCCACTGGATTTCCCTGTTGAAGAAGATCCTGGATCACCCAAAATAGCTCTGCTGGACAACATTCTGAGGAAGCAATATGGCTGGAGACATAGTGCCATTTCGCTAGCCGTATTGT